AATGAATATTATACGGTTATTATTTACCATATTATGTAAAATGATGCAGCTTATCGATGGGGCTAATCATCACTTTAGTAGTAATTATATTGACATACATGAATTGTAGAAAGTAAATGAAATAATTATTATTGGGTGAGTCCTTCAAGCCTTCTCTTAAGATGTAGATGCACTGCAATCATGCTGTTGTGATATTTAAATCCTGCTTTGCAATACTGATACTGCAGTATCATTCACTTTTAATATGAAGTGCTTCCACACAAATGAGGCTTTAGCTCTTTATTTGGACCCTCATCTACTACATTGCTGAGTAATCAAGATAAAATTTAAATCGATTCTTTTTAAAAATTGAGTAAATCAAGTTAAATCAAATAATCATGACTGCTCTAATCACAGCTCTAATCACAGTCTGTGAAGCAGAGACTTGGAGCATATTCTAAGAAGCACAGGACATGAGGCAGAGTGCACACATGCACACTAGAGATGCACCAATCCAACATTAGGACCGGTATCGGCGTCGACCAACACCTATTTGACAGATTGGGTATCGGTCATACGTGACAGATTCATGTCCAATACTTACTTACTGATTTTTTGGCAGTCTCTAAAAAGATAGCTCTTATTTCGTGTTAAATCTATTTGGACTGTCAATAGCACAACCGCTCTTTCCCTTTTTAGACATGTTTTTTGTGGCTCTCAAGCTGAAAGCTAACGCTGCCACTCAGTTTTTTGCCTCTCAGCAGGTGTAAGCACAGTGACTTCTATCTGCTGTGACGTCATATGTATACCCTTCACAGCAGGCGGAGCGTAAGAACATCGGATAAGAGGGAGTCAATCTGGAAGTATTTTATGCTTTTAACAGCAACTAGTAGCAAAGTGATCTGCAATCTTTGTAAAAACAAAGTTTTGAGAGGTGGGGGAAGCGTTTAGTGGAAAATCCCACTAAACAAAGTGCACTCAACTGTGCAAGACAACATGAGAAATATGAAATAAGTAATGGATGCCTTGAGAGTCACTGGCTTCGGCTGTTTCGCGCAGTTTAAAAATATCAATAATAAATAAAGTAAAAAGAGCTCTTATCAGAATCTGTATTAGTATCAGCAATTGTGTATCTGAATCAAATCGGAAAAGAAAAAATGTGGATCAGCCCATCCCTAATACACACCTTCACTGTAATACAGTAACAAAAATAGGGCTGCCACTAATGACTATTTTTCTATGGATTAATCTATAGACTATTTTACTGCTTAATCTTAAGTCAATTAATCTAAACGATTAATTTTCCTCCAGAAAATCAAAAAGACTGTTTAAGTTAATTTTATTTTGACAACAATAAACTGTATGTTATTGCAGGGCTTTAGATAACGTACGCCGGCTTATCAGTACTATACAGACATTATTTTCAGCCACAATTCGATAAGCAAATTAGTAGTATGCCTACAATATTAATGAGATGCATACAGTGACACCGAAAAAGTTAATCTGTATTAATTTGGTGTATCATTGTCCTTATTAAATTTGGTTAGTGGAGCATGTCACATGCAACTGTTTTGGTAAATCCTGGAAGTGATAAGCACTGAAGACAAGACAGGGACATTTCAGCAAGCACAGCATCTTTTAAAAGAGTAGATATTGTGGATTATTTAAGGAAGTTATTTAATGCATAATAATATCAGATGCAAGTCACATGAACCCATTAAAAATTCAGCTAAGCACAAGAAGATGCTTATTCTCAATGAAGATCCTTATACAAAATAATCCTTAAATTCTGCAGGAACTTTCTCATTTTCATCTGAGGAATTACTACCCTGGAGCAATATGTCAAACACACAGGGAATGGATGAATATGGGAACTCCGCTACGTACAGTACAAATCTCAAAACCCAGAACGTAAGTTCCAAAAAAGAAAATCAGGCCAGATAGAAAGCACATGAATAATAAAAAAAAAATGGTTAAGTGAACAAAAACTAATTGTATAAACTGAAAAAAATCTAACTGTGATCTATGACACCAAATTGCAATTTGTGTTATTGTAAACTACTGTCCAACCTCACAATAGGGCCGAATTTTCAGATAAAAATGCACAATGAAATTAATCAATATATTTCTTGAGACGGACGGAACTTAAATTTACAAGTAGGTCATCAAAACAGAAAACATGCTAATTGTGGCTGTGAGTTGGTTATGGATAGTGCTGGTCTCTGTCATAATGGTCAAGTGAGAGCTTGAAGACCCTCCCACATCAGGCAGAGAGAGACGGTATCTGATAAGACCAAGACTGTCTGTTGGCTGCTATGTTTACTGAACTAGGATATGATGCAGGAAACCATGAAGTAATATGAGAGGACATCTTATGAATGTGTTTATGACCAGAGCAAGGCAGAAACAACTGCTGCAAGTTAGTCTTGGCGGTTTTGCCAAGAAATTTAGACCAGGCTAAAAAATAAATATGGCTACTGGGGAGTTTATTGCTAACATTACATAACCATACTCAGAAAACCCAGGATTTGGATCATTATGATTATTATAATACAGTCTTGTTTTTTTTTTTTGTTTTGTTTTTTAAAGATAGAGATGCTTTACTGTCATTTTAAGTACAATGAGATTTAGTTTAAAACACGCCAGCAGATGCACAGTAAAACTTACTATCAAATAGAATCCAGGGCATCATTCATTTTAATAATGTGCAAATAAGCATAACTTAGATTCTCTTGTTTAGACACATCGGCATTTGTTTGCTTTACAACAGTTTATAATTGTTTGTAGTCTTAATAAAAAACAGCTTAAGAACAGATTCTGTTTTCCCTCCTGTACCAAACTTGCACCAAACCGTGAACTGAAAACCAAGATTTGTTAAATTGCTTCCAATTTAAACTTCACACCCTGGCAAATGAAAATAAGTGACAGGGATTCTGCAAATGTTTTCATACAGATTCATACATAGGGGCCCGGTGCTTAACCCTATACAGTCCAATAGAGGACAAGGGCTTGGTGCTTAACCCTGTACGGTCAGACAGAACAGGGGCCTGGTGCTTAACCCTGTATGGTCAGACAGAACAGGGGCCTGGTGCTTAACCCTATAGAGAACGACAGATACCTGGTGCTTCACCCTAATAAATCAGACAGAACATATACGTCTGGTGCTTAATGCTTTACAGTGGAGGGTCCCAAAGTGCAAGACTCCCAAACTTAATTGCATTTTTGCACCTTGTCTATTGCAGTATCCTATTCAGTATTTTATCATTTTATTTTATCTTTTTTTATTATTATGCTATTGTACTGTATTGTCTTGTAATTTTATTGTTACTTTAAATGTACCTGGTTGGTATGACAACTTAACTTTATTAATCCCCGGAGGGAAATTATCTATCTATCTATCTATCTATCTATCTATCTAAACTGGGGGTGGCAGAAATTTAGCATGGGGAGGGAACACACACAGTAGCCTAGCATTGATGTTTACTTAGGTCAACTTGAGAGACATGGGGAATTTTGTGACAAAACCTACACCAAATGCTGAACAAACTTTGACTACCACAGACATTAAAGCTCCAAAAACAAAAGTACAAAAATTTGACAAGGTATATCTCTCCCTTGGTTATATGAGTACTACAGTTGATTAGAGATTGAAAGACCACAGTGCATTGCATGTCTTAAAGTATCAGCCTCCAACACTTTGAAACCAAACAAACTGAGACGCCATTTAGCAACTTTACATTCCTATCACAAGGACAAAGCAGTGATCTCAAAACAGAAGCCCTGCTTTTAAAGAATTTGCAGCGCACACACCAGGCTCACCCCAGTCAGTGACAAGACCGCAGAACAAGATATAGACCTCCTACATATAAATGCTAATATTCATTATTTTCAGGATTTTTCTTCTCTAACTTCTGCAGTTGGCTTTAACCAAAACAGATGCAGAAGAATTTTCATTAAAATATGGGCAACATTTAAAAAAAATACATGCTGCATTACTTTTATAATGTGTGTGGGTTTGGGGGCAGGCACAAAAATCATCAGCAAAAAGGGAGGGGGGGGCTAGCAGAAAAAGTTTGGGAATCACTGCTGTACAGAGCCAGAGCAGGCCTCGTGCTTAACCCGGTACAAACAGAAAGCAGGGGCCGGGTGCTTAAGGCTATTGCACTCCCCATAAAAGTAAGTAAATATGGGAAATAAATGAAGTATATACATAGCTTTTTGTTTATCATATGTATGCATTAAGAAAACATGTGCAGAGTTAAACGATCCCTGACAGGGCCGCCTAACCCTGTCCAGCGGTGACATCCTGACGGCCCACCAACGGACATGACGCCGCCCCCACATTTGCGATGCCTAAAGGAAGTACCTGCCAACGGGACACCTATTCTCCAGGTGAGAGCCCATCACCCGGTCGTAAAACTTGCTCTGACTGAAATAACTGAGGGTTAATTCATGTTTAGTGTTTCTGAAATTAAACGTTAGGTGCAGCTAACAAGCTAAAATCCCGGAAAAAGACTCCAACGCAAGCTAATGCTACTGCTAAGAGGCTAATAAGAATCAAAAGGACCACTTTACACTCTTCTTTACATTAAAGAAAGAACAATTACCCGACTGCTGTTCTACAAAACAGGTTTTATGGGATCATCACGTTATAAACCTTACAAGACACCACGTAGGGGCTGCCTGACCGGGCTCCCTCTCCCAGACTTACTATCACAGCTAGCCGCCGAGTGACACTATTCCTCGCCCTTTTCTGTCAAACATGCCGGTTTTCATGGGCCGTAGACGCCCCCAGCATGACAGAGACACTCCCCGGATCTGGGCGGGACCGGGATACGCTGGCAGCCCGAACCCCTAGGCCGTCGTAGTGAGGGGCGACTCGGGATTGCGGAAGGATAGCGCAGGACGCTACGGTCAACTGGGCTTCGGAGAGGCGTACACTGTCGTACCGTAAAAAAAAGCGCGTTATACCAGAACCCACCCCGGGGGTCGGCCAGCGAGCTCGCAGACGCCGTACTAACCTCGGAGGGCGCTGTCGCTTAAGCTGCGGATGCATGTGACGGGATACCCATTGACACCCGGCGAGGCCGAACCGGTCCGTCTGGGAGAGGGCTAACGGACCACACTTGGAGACACCGCTTCGCACGCGCACTCCAGCGCGCGCTTCTGCAGTCTGTCACTCAAGTGGCGACGCGAGCGCGACCGTTACGCTCAAAGGGGGAGGAGCCGGGGGGCTGGCCCCGCCCAACTGCCGGCAAATTTCGCCGCCTTCAATACTGGCGTGCTTTCGGAAATACAACCCAGATTTAATTTTTTTATTTTATTTTTTAAAATGCAAAAGGTAACACAGACAGAAAAACAAAATACAACAACCTTGTAAATTTGAGCGTTGTTGGATTTCAATGAAAAATATATTTTACAATCATAATCGGATAACTTTTATTTTATCCCTGAGGAAATTGGTTAAATAATGTACTCGTTGTTATTATTCAGCGTTTTGTTTACATTCACATTTATTTATCACACCATTTATCCAACGCGACATACAGGCAAGGATAATACACCAGATATTTTGTATTGTCGGTTATTTACGATGAATGTATGCGGTGTTTTTCGCTTAGTATTAATGTACAAACTCTAATGTGGTTGTACGTGTAAGTAGCAGTGATGCAATATGTGGGTTCGTGTCATTGCTGAACCACAATGTCGCAATACACTTTTGTGCACCACAACACCATAACTGTTATTCTCAGATTCGCTTTCATTTATACAGATTCAGCTATAGTTAAATAGCGTTTACATTTCCACTCGACTTAAATACATAAAATGGCATCAGAACAAGTCAATATATACTTTACCAGTTGTTACAGCTGAATAACATCAAGGACCTAAGGTACAGTATGATTCTATGTGCCCTGTGATGAACTGGCATCTCCTCCCCAAACCTAACAGCTGTGCTTCTTGGAGTAGGATGTGGATACCTCCTTGACCACAATACATTGTTAGAAGATAGATGGATGTTACAGGTTTAAATGTAAAGGCGTAAAAGTTTAGATTATATGTTTTATCAGTCTGTAGTGGCCAGCATGCTTTTACAGTGCATTCAGAAAGTATTCAGACCACTTTCAATTTTCAACCATTTGTCATGTTGTAGCTTCATGCTAAAATTATGTAAATTAATTTTTGTTCCTCATGAATCTACACTCAGTACCCCATAATGACAACACAAACACGGAATTATAGAATTTCTTGCAAATTTATTAAAAAAGAAAAACTGAAATATCAAATGGACATAAGTATTCAGCCCTTTGCTGTGACACTGACAAATTTAACGCAGGTGCCATCCATTTCTCTTGATCATCTTTGAGATGGTTTTACACCTTGAAACTCTGTGACCTGAACATCAGTTCCTCCCTGTGCAGCTGGATCCTGGACTTCCTGACAGACAGACCTCAGGTGGTTCGGATCGGTAACATCACCTCATCCACACTGACACTTAGTACTGGTGCCCCCCAGGGATGTGGGCTCAGCCCCCTGCTGTACACCCTGTTCACCCACGACTGTACAGCACCACACAGCTCCAATACCATCATCAAATTTGAACTGTATATGCTGTGACCTGCTAGGAAAGTGCCATCAGTTCAAGAGATGCTAAACGCCTGAATAAACTCATCAGTGGCCTGTACTACGAAGCGGGGGTAAATCCGACAAGTTACCCCGATAAGCCGGTAACCCCGCTTCATAGTACAGGCCCCTGGAATGACTGCTCCGTTACAGCACTAATTCTGAACAAACTCATCAGGAAAGCCTGCCCCACACCTTATAAAAGATTCCGGATGGGGCTGCAATTTACTTGTAACTGTCAGATATGCAATAACAATTGTCCAGGGACCTTTTTACATATGTTTTGGGACTATCCAATTGTGTCCAAATTTTGGTCTAATGTGAACACATGTCTATTTGTTTTATTAGAGATTTCTTATGTACCTAACCCTGCCCTTTGTCTTCTTAATGACACATCGTATGTCAACTTAAAGATTACTCAATGTAAAAATCGCCGGATTTACTGCGGCAAAGCAAACAATCACTAAACATTGGTTTACTCCTGGGATGAATCTGAAATATTTTGGGCCCACAGTCTTAACATCGTTAATCTAGAACTCACCACTGCAAGACTGAACAGAGCTCGACCGGAAACTGTGAATGCCTAAAATCTTATCTAAAATTTTATCTAAAATCCTTCACTGGAATAGAGACTGTAAATGAACGGACTACAATATATAATGTATACATGTTGTCTGCATGAGGTGGGAAAGTTTTCTGAAATGCCTGCTATTTCATTGTATTGTTGTTTATAAAAATGTAATAAAAATTGTTGATCAAAAAAAGGAAGGCCTGCCCCGTCACAGGACTGATCCTGAACAAACTCATCAGGAAGGCCTGCTCCGTCACAGCACTGACCCTGGACCCACTGGAGGCAGTATCAGAGAAGAGGATATTGGCAAAATTGGGCAATATCATGAACAATTATACCCTTCTGCTTCAGGGTTCACTATGCTGGATCACATTTAGCCACTGGCTCATTCTACCAAGGTGTGCTAAAAATGCTACTGCAGGGATCATTCCTGCCTGTAGCCATCATATACCAGAGCGCCTCCTGCTGATGCGCTACTCCCATACGCCAGGAAGCATCCCATCTGTTACAATACAATACAGTGTACCTCGGCTCTCGAACTTAATCCGTTCCGGACTCTTCGACTATTAAAAAGTTCGAGTTCTGATCGATTTTTTTCCATAAGAAATAATGGAAAACCAATTAATTGGTTCCCGGCCCCCCAAAATTACACCTAAATATGTTTTTATTTTTATTTTATTTTGTTTCGCATTTAAACACAAAATTAACAGGATAAAACAAGAAGAGCATTTTTTTCTTAATGGCTTCCAAAACGATAAAGATCTTATCCCAACATTACCCCTGTCCTGCCCCGATCGTCCGCTCCTTCCGTGTGCCACGCCCCCTCGTTAACCTCGTGTGGGATCCCCATGTGATCAGCTGTTTCTGGTTGTTGTCATTAGTCCTCTGTATTAAGTCCGCGTTTCAGTTTGTTTCCCCAGTCCGGTCATTGGGTGCGTTCGACTTGCTTACAGCGCTGGCTTAAAGCAACGTATTCTGATCCTGACGCAATGCATTACGGTTAGATGCATTGCGACCTCTCACCCGGCTGCAGAAACTGGAACCGCCTCCGTGACGACACACCTTTGCCCTTATTGGCTGAAGAGTTTAGTTACAGGCATGATGTTTGTATCCCAGGCAGTTCTGTTGCGTAATCTGCTATTTCTCCCGAATATCACGTAAAGCAGTGAGAACTGGTTTTCAGTTAATTTACCTGGTAAAAAAAAGTTTAAATAAATGACATAAATGCTCTAATAGTACACGTAAGTTAGTGGTTTATTTATTGTTAGTTACTGTAATGTTGCGCTGCTTTATTTGGTTAATGGTCTAGTCTGTGAAGAAGGCATTCAAGTAAGAATTGCATTGTAGTATGACTCATTTCCTGGCGGTTCACGGTTCGACTTCTGATATTCAGATCGAGTTCTAGGTCAAACTGGTTTGTTCGACTTTCAAGAAAATCGAGTTCTAGTGAGTTCGAGAACCGAGGTACCACTGTATAGTGTTTTCTGTTCTAAGTGCACATAACTTATTATCGCATAATCATTATTCTTACCATCCCCCTAGTAGGCCTTTCAGTACAACTTTTATATACTACTACAATGTGCAATATATGGTCTGCGGCTAATAATTTGTGCAGTAACGATATCCTGTCACTACGTTGAAAACAGTATTTAACTTCTCCTCTGGAGAGTTCATATGGTAGATTATGTGACTTTTTATGTGATATTTTTGTCTGTGATATATTAGCTTTGAATTTTTGTTGTGTTCATCCTGTCTACTGTCTCAGTCTATCTGTGCAGTTGTAACAGAAGCAATTTCCCTCCAGGATCAATAACGTTTTTCTAATTATGATTAAATGTTTGTTTTTAGTATCACATTCTGATTTTCAAAATATTTCATTTAGGCCTTTTGTGTACTGTGTACTTTTGAAATGTTTGCACTACGTTTACTTTGCACTATCTGTACCGTCTATGTACCCTGTTTGGCTGACAGTACAGTATATGTATGTTCGTCCGTCCTGCAGCTTTATGCGGTTAATCTAATTCTTGTTCTCTTCTGCCCTCTTGTGGTTAGATAGGAGCATTGCCCTACCTACGAACATAGCGCTACAACGGTCACATTAAACCGTATCACTGGTCAGCAAACATTGTCACAGAACTAGGTGTCTGTACCTTTTTTATGCGGATTTCAGAAACGTACTCGGAATTTTACTATTACCGATAGTTTTTGAGTGACGTCAATTTAGGCTATATTGATAGTATGTAATTCCCGATTAAGAGGGTATGGATTTAATTCAGGAAATATAATTTGTATATGTGAACATTTTTAAGACTTTACAGAATGGTGCAAAGTACTGTAAGTTTGTTTTTCCAGAGTTTACAGGCTACACATTCGGACTTGCCATCATTACATTTCTGATATGGAAAAACAATATCAAGGCAAGTGTGCCAGCATGCTGGCTGACTTCTGATGGGCCCTTAAGAGGGCTGCTCCTGAGGCCAAATACAAACATTACTGCCTTGGTGAGTCAGTCCCACCATGCACAAATACTGTAAATATACGTATAGCACAAACTTTCTGTCACCTTGTGATAAGGAAATTCCTATCAGCTATTTCAATTCAACACAGAAAATACTGTCAGAATACTTTTTTGATTCATGTGACAAAAAGAAAAATTGTTGATCAATGTAGTCTCCTTATAATTTATATATTAAATAAGACCTTTTGTAAATTCCATAAACGAAACCTATAATTAAAATACTGCTAATAAAAATTTAATAATTTATTATAAATTAAAAAGAAAATACATTTCAAGCAGATTTTTATTAAAGTACAACTTGTTCATTGCCGGTAACCAAAGGAAAACGGAATAAGTCACTGAACACATTTTTCTGCAAATTGCCACGCATAAATAAATGTGCCACAAAAATATGGCTGAGAGAAGATTTCACCAGGAGAATCAATTTCACAAGTCATAGCTCTGAGAGGAAGCCCAGTCCTCTCTTACTGTCCGAAGGCCAGCTGGCGCTGCTGCTTCTGGCCATGTAGTTCCTTGGCACGGTTCTTCAGCTCCTCTGCCTTTTGATGATCAGGCGCAGTGCCGTCGCCCAGCTTGTACATGCGGCTGGCGTTGGCGCAGCCCCACACGTGGCCCAACTGGCAGGCCTGCAGCGCATACCTCAGGGCCTGTGTCATGTCCTTGGAAATGCCCGGGGCACCCTGGATGTACAGTGTGCTCAGATTGAAACAGCTGGGGGCAAAGCCCCCTGCACACGCCTTCTCATAATACTGCCGGGCCACACCGGCATCTGTGGTGCCTTCAAGGGCACGCCCGTCATGTACCAGCAGGGCTACATTGTGGCAGGCATTCACTGAGCTCTTCCCCCCTTGATCGCACGCTCGTGTGAAACAGGAGTAGGCTTTCTTAAGGCATTCAGCAACACCACCTGTTTGAAGTTTGAGAGTACTTACAGTTAGTACTGTAACATGACCCATAGGTACACAGCAAATATATCACAGATTGTGCATGTTGGTGGAAAGCCACTGGAAATGGAAAACCCAGGGTGTGAGGGCTCTAATAACAAGCAACTGGGACAACAGTTAAAGCTATGATGAAGCCCATTCCCTGCAGTTGCTCACAAGGGTACCTGTTTTACCAGATTTTTCAAATATGAATGTTACTAATTAATCATAGGAAAGCTTTAGTCTCATTAATGACAAAAAAACGACATCGTTATCCCAAGTTTCGGTAAGTTCTTAAGACCCTATAACGCACATTTACCTTTGCCGGTAACGTGGTACGCGCCCAGCTTATAGCAGCTTTCGCTGTGATTGTTGACTTCGCAGTTGTGTTTGAGTACCTGAGCTGTCGCCTCGTAATTTTTCTTTATCCCTTCTAAGTAATCAGCCAGCCGCTGGCACCCTGCACGGAGCAAAACAGAAGGCATTAAACATCTGGAATATAATAAGATGTATGGCATGTAAATTACCTTTCTGCATACCAATAACCAAGGACAGCGTCTTACCTTCAGGACTCTTCTCACGGTAACATTGATAACTGTACTCCACCCCCAAGTTATCCAAGAACTCTTTAACTTCTTTTTCATCTTCAAAGTTGATTAATCCCGCCATTGCTCCAAACTTCTACCTTTATTAGAGTTTTATGCAAACCGATCAACTGAGATCTTTTATCCTCGGTGGTCCTAAGTGACCTTGCTTAACAGACTTATCAGAAGAGTTACACATCTATCTTAAAAGCACTGTAAAACCTCCTAATGCATTAATCACAGAACCAACCTAACATATATTAGTGTCACTTAAAACACAGACGAAATAGCATTAACATTAATAAATGAACCATGTCCTTGCAGAACTTGCAGTATTCATGCGGCTACTGCAGTAACTTCCGTGTTTCATCACGCTTTCCAAAAATGTATTTCCGGTGTCAAAGGTTGGCGAACGGCATTCTGGGATGTCTACATATGTAAACATACGTTTACAATTTTACGGTTCTGTTTTAAGGTTTATGCAGTCCTTATTCTATACAACATCTTTTGATCCTTTGTAATATGTGTTTCTTTTAAGCTGTTTTACTGCTAGTAAGGTCCCAGACAGGTTCTTAGTATAGCGAGATTTTTAATGGCATTGCAAAAAGCAATCTCGCTTCGCTTTTCCTGCTTGGTAACTTCATTTTCTTGCATTTAGCAGACTAAAAAATAAATATTACGTATTTATTATGGTACTTTACAATTAATCCTTAAATTAAGATTAACTTAATCCCTCAATATATTCAGTAGTCCGCTGTTCTCTTGTATACAGGGGCAAAACATAACACGCGACAGTAGTGCTTTTCTTTTCGACAACGCTCGTTTGTGCAAATACAGTCGCCTTCGGTCACAAGAAGCGATTCATTTACTTGAATAATATTTTTGACACTTCAATATTGTTCCTATATATTCTGTCTTCTTTTCATACGTATAATGCGGAGATTAGCTTCATATATCATCGAACCACACACTAAAAGTAATTAGAAGTCAATTTTAAACTATTCACGGTAAACACCGTTCATATAGCACAGATTACAAGTTATTACAAATTGCAAGTTGTCCAGTCATGACGTCATCCCTCCCTTCGCGTGCTACCTAAAATACAGATACCAACCGTGCACTGTGAGGACTAACAAGTTCCCCGAATTTCTGCAGCTGACATTATTTTGAACTGGACCGTAAGGAAAAAACTCTTTGGGTGGGGAGGTTATTTTATAGCAGGCCACTCTACCACAGAATGCCCCCCATCGGACTCTGGTTTGGAAAATCCTACAGACACCAAACTTTAACCAGTTACTGATATTTGTCCCTTATTGATGCTGCAGAAATAATTTTGAGTTGGGCCATAAGGAAAAAATTCTAGACAAGGGGAGCCTAGAATAGGAAAACACTCTGAGATATTCATTATCTTAAAAATAGAAAAAATAGAATTTCAATAACTTACTTAATAACTCTGTTTTTAATCCAAAACAATAAAATTAAGAGTAACAACACTACAATAAATAAAATGATGTGCAGTAATTAGGAAATCAACATTTCAAACATTTTTATAGTCAGTTAACGCAACCACCAAATAGATTTAATCATAGTTAAACATTCTAAACAACTTTGTTTTTAATCAGTAACAATAAAAGTAACCACAAAAACACTGTAAGAAATAAAAATCATGCGAAATAACTAGTAAATCAACATTTCACAAATTTTACCGTCATTGAACAATCAATATAACAATGTAGGAAGCAGTTCTGTTGATACAATTTTACACTATTTGCAAGTTTTCGCAGTCTTCATAGGGGGCAAAAAGCTCCTCTCAGAATAGGCACATTCGGCTTTATCTATGTACGATATTTAAAGAACACTAGTCATCACGCTGAGTAATTCCGGAAATTCGTTTGAATAAATGTAGTACACCATAGATGTTGCGTCGCTAAACGCATATGTAAGAGCCAGGGAAATAGGTTTACTAATATTTGCGGGGTTTTTTTTTCAAAGTAATCGTATTCTACTGAATGCTTTGCAGTTTTTCTTTGGTATTTTGTCGTACTTAAAAGGGAAATAATACTCAAATACTTTTAAGATCATACCATTCTGAAGTGAAATTATTTTACATAATCATCATGATGTAGGCCTATAGGCCTAATATTTCTGAATACAAGATGGATGTGTAACCTTCAAGGTCATACGAATACCCAAATCGATAGAAAATGACGTGCATATCTCCAATAAAAAATACGCAAACGATTATTTGTCTCCCTATAGTGTAGTGCAGAAATAGTTAAGATAGACAATACGGTACCCATGTATCGGGTGGATTACAGTAGGCCTATAATTAAGCCCGTTTCGGAATACGATTGCCTTACACCTAACGGTTTATAATACAATCACTGATTGACACTAAAGCGGTTACAAGCGTCGTTACGAGCTTTATCAAATGGTTACATATAGCATGCTGACGGTATATGAAGCTGAAGGCTGATGGTAAGAGGTAAGACTTAACAAGCATCAGCCACGCCAGGGAGCAAACAAGAGGATTAGGTAGACATGGTGGCCAGGACACGACATGTCTACCCATTAAGACAGCGTTTTTCAAACCAGTCTTCAGGGACTCCCAGACGATCCATGTTTTTCTCTCTCCCAGCTCCCAGGGGTCGTGTCCTGCTTTAAAGAGGTACTCAGACTGAATCGGTCCAGTACAAGGGGGTAGGTTTGGTTTCAAGTTCAACATACGTTGGTAGGGACCAAATCAGCTCCGAAACCCCTAAACACACACGGTACTATCTCAATACAAGTCTCTACCGTCTTTAACCAAACCTACGCCTTCGATCAAGTAAAACACACAGCTGCATTATTTGACAAAACTGTAACATACTTTTGGGTCAATGAATTAGACAAAATTATAAATCAACATAAAGAAAAAGCAAAATCTTTTATGGGTATTAGTGAAGGTCAAGACATGTTATCTGCAGCATGCTAATTATGTTTTTCGGCACATTTATTTTAAAGTGTAAGACGAAGCCATAGCCATATCTTTGTGAGAAAAACAATGTTGATCCACTCTTTTAAGACAGTATTTTAGCTCGTAAGTTTAATTATTCAACTAAAATGCATACTGCAATTAGATGGGGGGAATTTTAGTGTATAGTCTTCAGTGTTTGGTATCTCATGAAGCTCCGTCTGGATCTTTAATAAAATATTACAAATTTGCATATGTGAAGCAGGTAAAATCAAGGTGCTCTGATTAATCCTGACCCAGCCGTCTAGTAAATAACTAAAGAGCCTCCCTAGACTCAGAAGGCATTTACTCAGGGGTGCCAAACCATAAATGATTTATATTGGGAAAAAAACATCAGAAGATTCTCCTCATAGGTTTAGTATGTACACAGCTGCATGATGCAAATCACGGGGCCCATCAAACAAAATAATCTGTTTTTCGAACACCGCCAATATTACCAATTCCCATGCGTTATCGTTTGTCGACGCCATTGTACACTCCAAATGCACCTCTATCTTCTCACTCCTGGGTAGCATTACTGAAACACAAGGAAACAACCTGGAGCAACAGCGCCATTGATATCTACAGGGATACCATTACGAATGGATGCCTTTGGTACTTTAACGTAGCCAAACAGGTGTCTTTATACTAAGGACTGTACCATGAAACAATGATAATCATACATTTTCTCAGGTATTATTTGGCTGTGACAGGACACTGTGCTAATTGCAAATATGAAAATTAAACAAACATAGAAACTGAATTTGAACGAATAACTTTCCATGAGGATATACTGGATAAGCATTTGAGAGACGGGTGGATGGGTGCATTGCCGCTTCTCGCTATACTGGAGCACCACTTTATTATTCCAGTCTTGCCACTAAGAGGAGCTGTTGTTCTGTGCCAAATTTATCTTCATTTTTTCATGAAAATGGCATTTGCCTCAGGGGAAAATAAAACCTTCTTGCATATATATACCTTAGAGCCAGCCTGGTGATTCTTCCTTTTCTTCGGGTTATTCGCATTTAAAATTCACACACACACACACACACACACCTCTCTCTCTCTCTCTCTCTCTCACACACACACACACACACACACACACACTTTCTCAAACACACACACACACACTCAGAGACACAAAGGTTTGTAATTATATCCTAGTGGGGACTCGCCATTCATTTCTTTGGGGAAAACTCAACCGTAACCCCTACCCAGCCCTAACCTTAACCACAAGTAACCAAATAAAACATGAGGCAATTGGCATTTTTACTTTTTTGATTCCATTCACAGATCTTTGTGAATCAGGTTTTTATTAAATTGTGGGAGACATTTGGTCCTCACAAAGTAATATAAACCTAATACACACACACACACACACACACACACACAAACGAAACTGAAAAGCGCCATTGGGGTAAATTTTCATTTAAATACTTCATTAATAACTCTCCATAATGCACAAATTACTATATCAGCATTAAAAATGTAATTTCTTGCAGGCATTGTTATTAATTGCTTATCCAGGCGTAGGGCGTAACTCAGAACTCAGAGCTCACACCGGATGGTACGCCAAGGGCACGCAGACGAAGATGCAGATTCACTTACGCTCTAAGGGTTTTGAGAGATTTTAGAGTAATGAATTCACCTAACATGTCTTTTGGCAGTGGCTGGAAAGGGGTAGCTGGAAGACCCAAAGAAAAGTTGTGTATAATCGTCAAACACTGATGTTTGAATAGAATCTACACACTAGAAGGTACCAAATAATAGTACCCGCTGAGGCACGATGGCATCACTTTAAAATTTTAATTATATATCACTGCATTGCTCTTCGATTACACAACAAGACAACTGTTCAACAAGCTTTTACTGTGTTTTATATGTTTGCTTTAGAAGGCTGTGGCATTTCTGAAGTTATGGCATTTCAGAGGTCAGTGACGAGGATGTTGTCTCGCTGTGTGTTCGTATATCGTGCTCGCTAATGCACGCCCTTTAGTTTGCTTTTAGAAGCTAAAGGTCTGCAGATCTGGAGAATTTTGCATAAAAGTGCTTTGTGCACCATGCTCACTTTGCGCTCAGTTGTAATAAAAATGTGCAATTCCTCTAATTCAGACTTTTATTTGTGATACAGTATTTGACATAAAACAAGTTTAATGCATTAGACAGACATTCAATCGTGATGTTAAAAAAGCATCAAGGAATTGACATGCAGTGTTTTTCTTGAATAATTCATTGAGAATGCAGTTGAATTTTGAAGCTGTGCATCAAAAGTGTTGATGTGTCCACTAAAAGAGATGCTTTAACACTTTAAAATACTGGGTACGCCACCTGTAGAGCAAGCCAATGGGCGTCGGAAGGCCTTGGAGTAAGTGACAAACTCAAGGAACCCAGCACTTTATTGGGCCCCCATTATTATGGTATTTTTAATGA